AGCCATATCTGGTGAGTGCCTTCTTCCTGAGAGGAACTCTTCAGAGTCCCTAGGAGAAGCAGATTATCACATGGCGAGAATGGCAAAAGCGTTTTTAGTGCTCATTTGTTCTGCCTATAAAGCCATCAGTCCACTCCCCAATAACCCATCAAACCGTGAATGGATTAATCCATTCACGAGGACACAGTCCATACTATCCAATCACCTGTCAAATGCCCCATCTTTCAAATACCATATTAGGGTTCCAACATGAGCTTGGGGGAGACATTCAAACCGTAGCAGATGGCTCATAGGTACTTTGCAAAGCCATGCATATATATTAAATTGTGATAAATACACACAAAATTTACCACTGACACTTAGAACATTCACAATGCTGTACAACCATCACCATTATCTAGCACCAGAACGTTTCCATCATCCCAAAAGGAAACCCGTACCCATTAAGCAGTCATTCCCCCATTCTCCTCCCCATCCCCCGGCCATGGAAACTACCAATCTACCTTCTGTCTGTGTGGATTTATCTATTCTGGACGTATCATATAAATGGAATCATACTATATATGGTCTTTTGCATCTGGCTTCTTTCACTGGGCCTGTTTCCAAGGTTCATCCATGTTGTAGCGCATGTCAGTGCTTCATTCCTTTTTATGACTGGGTAATATTCCAGTGTGTAGAAGAACCACATTTTATTTATTCATTCATCACATCTGAGTTGTTTCCACATTTTGGCTATTGTGAATAGTTTTACTCTGAACACCCATATACAAGTTCCTTTTTTTTTTAATAAGGTAATATTTAATTAGCTCTTTGAAACTAAGCATTTTATAGGATTGACTCATTTAAGATACCAGTCATTCCCATTTTGAAGATGAGAAAACTTGAGGCACAGAACTGATAAGAAATTTGCCCAGGGCCAAACCTGGGACTCTCACCCAGGTCTGTCCAGAGCCATGGACTGGGAACCCATAGGGCTTGCCCTGCCAGCTCAGTTTTTCCTGGGGACCAGCTGGATGCTGGATGCTAGGGACTCAGGTGAATCAGACCCAATCCCCTCTAGCAAGGCCAGTCTCCAAGGAGGATGGAACACAGATATGGGGCCCAGAAGCTCATCATGTTCCTCAGCAGGGAGTGGGTAGCTCTGCCCTGGGAAGGGTGCTGAGCAGAGATTGTCTCCATGCTGGGGTTGCCGAGCTGGGAAACTGGGGACTTTAGCCCTGGTGGGAGCTGGGATGTGTGAGAAACAGGTAGGTTCATCTGTAGTCAGGTTGGGGTAGTAAGCTGGCTTTTTTCTGCAGCTGGGTCACTCTCCACTGCAGGGTTTTAAGCAGTGGGAATGACAGTCAGAAGGACCTCTCTGCTGCTCAGAAAAAGGATCTCAGGGCCCCTGCAGAGGTGGCTCAGGAAACTGCTGGGATCCAGTATGGATGGTCTCTGAGAGGGGAAAATGGTAGGAAGAGCAGGTTGGGACTTCTGGAGCACGAGGGATCTGGGGGGCTTCTGGGTGGGAAGGACCAAGAGGCAGTGGAGTGAGGTGATGCCAGGGGGGAGGCAAGCCCAGAGCTCCCTTGAGGATGTGCAGAAGAGTGACGGAGAAGCCAGCATCCATAGGAGTGGAGGGGGAAATGATTTTGAAGGCAGAGGACAGCCTGGGTGTGGGTGGACATAAGGAGAAGCTGGCCCAGGGGAGACAGAGCCTGCTGGATGGAATTGTCAGGGACCAGGCCACGGCTCCTGCTTGGTTACTCCCTAGGAGCCAGAAAAAAGCACTCTCATCTGTGAGCTCTGAGCCCTGCCTTGGCTAGAGCCCAGGCAAACCCTCAGGCACAGGAGCAGAGAGGTCATTGGTAGGTAGAATGGCCGGGAGCAGGCAGCAAGACCAGAGTCTCCCTTTCCCCAGATGGCCTCCTTTCCCAACCTGCCCTCAGCCAGACTCAACTGAACGTGTTGACTTTCCATGGCCATACCTAGACAGAAACTCCAAAATCCTTTATCATGGCTGCTCATTCCCCCTTGGTTGGATGGACTTTATTTAACCAATCATATGTTGAAGAACATTTAAGTAGTATCCTAATTTTTGTTGCCACTTGAGTCCTTTTTCAATGACCCTCTTTTTTGCTTAACTCATTTGAAGCAATAAATAGCATCTGTAAAAATACAGATTCAATGGCTACTTGTGTTTTCTAATACAATGTAAATCCATGCAATACTGTTAAAATTAAATAGTGTCAGGCCGGCCTGTGGCTCACTCGGGAGAGTGTGGTGCTAATAACAGCAAGGCCACGGGTTCGGATCCCATATAGGGATGGCTGGTTAGCTCACGGGGTGAGCTTGGTGCTGACAACTCCAAGTCAAGGGTTAAGATCCCCTTACCCGTCATCTTTAAAAAAAAATAATAATAGTGTCTGTCCTTGCACCACCTAAAACCATTCCATTTGCAGTACAAATTCTTCGCTTGGGGGGACACTGGTGCCATCCACTGGAAGGTATATACTAGGCACACATTGTGATGGGCTCCTCTCCCATCCAGACATGGGACCACCTCACCCTGTCCCCACCCAAGTTCCATCCTCCCCCATAAAGAGCACTGTCCCTTCTAGCCTCCTCCAGGACCTTGGCCACAATCATCCTCTCTCTCACTACTGACTATTCCACCCCTCCCACTCTGCTTGCTCAATCCCTACCAACTATAGACATACGGGCACGCTCAGCAGATGTTAACTAGATGTTAAGACAACAGGATGCAGCAGAGCTCAGTTTTAGCGTCAACTGAGTTTAATCCCAATTCTGCATTGTCCAGCTGGTGACTCTCTGTGGTTCAGTATCCTCATCTACAAATGAAGATACTAACAGTCCTGCCTCTCAGGGCTGTCCTGGGATTCTGACAAGATGATGCAGAATCATCTAAGGAGCAGCACTTTCTGTCTAGATGCTTCCTCAGTTTCCAGTAAACCAAGTTCTGTAGAAGCCTGGCTATGCTGGACATCCTCAACATTTCCCATGCTGCCCAGTGTACCAGATCAACTGGGTGTTGCTGGGTGGTAAAAGCAGGGTTTGTGATCGTTTTTCAAATCCAGTTGTTCTCAGGGTCAACGCCACCACCAACACCAAGCATGAAGATTCAGGGAGGAAGGTTCTCCTCCCAGGCGGTGGGTGCTCCAGGCAGGAAATCTTTGCAGGCCCTGCCCTTGTGGGCTGTGGTGCCTGTCCTCCAGGGGTTTCCAGGCCAGCAGAGACCAACAGAAATGGGCCATTGTGTAAACAAACAGGACCCTAAAGGAACTGAGGTCACTGGCTTTGCCTGATGGGTTTGGGAGTGGGTGTTGATCCAGAGAAGACTTCATGGAGAGCTGGAGCCCAAAAGAGGAGCAGGGGGTTGACACTCTAGGAGTTGGGGGCTGGATCACTCAGCACAGGCAGATCCTCAGGAAGCTGAGTTCTGCTATTCTAATATCTGGCCCTATTGAAAGTAATATTGATAAACATAAACCGACCCTATGACCCCGCAATTCCACTCCCAAGTATATACCCAAGAAAAATGAGGACACGTGTCCACATATGACAGGAACAAGAATGTTCATAGGGGTCTTATTTGCAATAGCTCCAAACTGGAAACAACCCAAATGCCCACAACTGTAGAACAGATAAACGGGGCATATTCTTACAGTGGCCCTCATGACGATTAAATAAAAATAAAAATGAAAAGCTGAGAAGGATGGATTTCACAGACATTCTGTTGAGCCAAAGAAGCAAGACCCAGACGAGGTCATAGTGTCATTCCTGGTCTAGAATAGGCAGACTTAGCCATGACTCTGGTAACAACAGAAAAACGGTTGGGGGCGGGGTGCCCGCTATTGACTGGACAGAGACACGAGGGGACTTTGAGATGTTGGAAATACTCTGTATCTTGATCTCGGTTGTGTTCACATGGGTGTGTAAGAATTGTATGGAGTTGCACACTGAAGATTTACGCCCTTTGCTGTATGTTATGCCTCAATAAAAGTTAACACCGAATAACTAACGATGACAACAGCGCCCGTTACTGCGTGTCGTCCTCTTAGACCCTAATCCTGCTGCCTTGCAATGAATTGTGGGTTCGCGTGAACAGGGAAGACGTGTTTGCCAAGGGCTGGAGGTAGGAACACGAGGCCTTCTGGGAAACGAGGCCGGGCCGAGGCTGGCTCTCGATTCGGGGCTCCGTCACCTAGGCTGACCACTCGCCTCCAACGGGCGGCGGCGCAGCGTCCTGCACCGGTTCCACCGAGCCTCCGCAGCGGTTCCGGAGAAAGCGCTGCACGGCGAGTGCCGGTTGGCGCCCTGCCAGCCAATCCCCGCGGCGCCCCGAACCCGACAGCCAATGACCGCGCGCCGGGCCGCGCCGGTTGGCTCCGAGCGCCCACGGCAGGCGTGGGCGGGCCGGCGCAGGCGTCGGCCAATGGACGGTGCAGGCGTCGGCCAATGGACGGTGCGCGCTAGGCGCGGGGCCAATGAGCGCGCCGGGGGCGGGGCGAGCGCCGCAGCGGGCGGCT